TATAGTTAGTAGAATGTCTAAAGTGGACTATCAAAATAAAGTGTACCCAAAGATTATTTTATTGCACTTTTCTTTCTGTACTAAACATGTCATAAAGCAATGAGCTCTCCTTCCTTCTTTGCAGGAAATCACCAAACCTCTGCCCTTCCACCAAATCTCTCTGGATGCTCTGGAGGAGAACGACAGCATCGACCACGACCTGCAGAGCTACATCCTTCAGCGCATCCACAGCAGCGCAGAGATCCAGAACAACATCTCCCTCAACGGCAAGATGGACAACACCAGCTTCGGCAAGCTCAGCTCCCACCTCAAGGCCCTCAGCCAGGGCTCCTTGCTCTACCTGAAGCTCACCTTTGACCTGATCGAGCGCGGCTATCTGGTGCTCAAGAGCTCCAACTACAAGGTGGTGCCGGTCAGTCTAGCCGAGGTCTACCTCCTGCAGTGTAACATGCGCTTCCCCACGCAGTCGTCCTTCGACAGAGCCCTGCCGCTGCTCAACGTGGCTCTGGCTTCGCTGCATCCGCTCACCGATGAGCAGATCTACCAGGCCATCAACAGCGGCTCGGTGAAGGGAACGCTGGAGTGGGACGACTTCCAGCAGAGGATGGAGAACCTGTCGGTGTTCCTGGTCAGGAGACGGGATGGGACTCGCATGTTTGTGCACCCGTCCTTCAGAGAGTGGCTCATATGGAGAGAAGAGGGAGAGAAGACCAAGTTCCTCTGCGATCTCAGGTCTGACAGAAAGCACTGGAACACCAGCAAAAACGGGCTTTGTGTAGAGAAACAGAACAAACCAACAAACTCTTCTGTTTACGACAGCCTAAAACGGTTTGATGGTCATTTTTGGGGACCTAGAGTAACTAAACCATCTAAAAACCAGCAAACCAGCATTTTTAAAGTCAAATATGTGTCCCTGGAGCACAAAAGCAGTGTTGAGTCGCTGGGGGATATTTGTAGCAATAGCCAACAATACATTGTATGGGTCACAATTATACATTCTTTGTAAGGATATTAAGTAAATATCCATGAATGTATTTTGTACATTTCCTACCGTAAGTATATAAAAACTGAATGTTTGATTAGTAATATGCATTGCTAAGAACTTCATTTGAACAACTTTAAAGATGATTTTCTCAATATTTAGATTTTTTTGCACCCTCAGATTCCAGATTTTCAAATATTGTCCTCTCCTAACAAACCATACATCAATGGAAAGATTATTTATTGTATAAATCTCTATTTCTCCTTATGACTGGTTTTGTGCTCCAGGGTAACATTTAATACCTGCACTAATAAATCACTGTATGAAAAAATATTTTTATTGAATTAAACAGACACACATTCAGCTGTAAAACAGGATAACTGCAAGTTTAAATACTCAAGACATGTTTTATTTAATATGTACATTTGTATGTATAAAAATTGGTTTATGCACTAACATGTCAATAAATATGAAATAGAGTTCGATCGAAATTGATAAAATAATAAAGTGCTTAGAGAGAAATATATTGTGCTGAAATGTGCCTGAACTAATGAAATCTATATACTGAATAAATATCAATAAAAAATCATTTCTTAAAATAAAACATATTTAAAAAATCTTAAACTTATTTTGGTAACACTTTACATAGAGCCTTTACATATAATGCATTATAAAATTAGTTTTAAAGCATTAATTATGCCTTGTAATGCACATTATAATGAATTGTACAGTCTCATGAATCATTTTAACCAGTTAATACATAATAACACTTATCAATTCACTGTTACACTATGCATTTTAAATATGGTTATAATTATTTACAACAAGATATAATGTATTACAACGCACATTATGAAAAATTATAATGCATTATACCCTGTAATAACCCTTTATAATGCATTATACAAAAAGGCTTTGAGCAAAGTGCTACTCATATTTTATTTCAGCTAGTCATCAACATTTCTCATTTTCATCTAGTTTAAGTTACTAAAATAACTAAAATAAAAAAATTAAAATATTTAGACCTGTTAGAAAATGACAAAAACAACAAAATTAC